TCTTGTCATCCCCTAGGGTGATGCAGATGGGAGTCGAAGACCTTGTCGTGGGTAAGCGGGCTTCTTTCACCATATGTGGGTGAATGAAGTCGTCTTGAGACCCGGCATTCCACAGCGCTGAATACACCCTCGTGGAGGTCCTCAGACTGGAATGATCAGGAGGGTGCGATCAGGGTTAGGGAGGATGGTGAGAAGGCGACACAGTTAAACGACATGGAGGGTGAGTCGCTCCTGACGATCTTGGAGCATGCTCAAGTCCAGAAGAGAGGACACAACATCTTCGCGAGTCGCAAGTTGCTCGCTGCAACAGGCTGAGCGAATGGCTCGACGCGTCGGTAGTCGTGGAGAGGTAGGAGGAGAGACGGTGGTCTGCGGAGGCGTGGACGGTACTGCAACAGAGGGCTGAGTAGTACACTCTGTCGGGTTCTGCGATACCTTAACTCCAGTAGCGAGAGGGTCGAACCGCGACGGAGATGTTGGGAAGCAGACTACTGAGGAGGGCACAAGTGTACACTGCATCATGGCTAGGAGGCGCCGAGGGGATGCGAGGCGTCGGGGGGGGACTGAGCACGAAGCTGGCGAGAGAGCTCGACGTAGTGGCTGTCGAGGGCGGCGGTGTAAGGGCACCACGAGGAGGAATGACCGTCCTGGCGGCAACGCAAACACCCACGCTGGCCCAAAATGGCCGCACGCTCCTCAGCTGAAAGGACACCGCGAGGAGGGACAAAGCCCTAAGAGAGGTCCTGCTTAGGGACCTCGCAGGGCGACGCGTCAGCCCGACCTGAGCGGTTGCGTGCCAGGAAGAGGGTGGAGAGGGCGAGTTGGAGGCGCACGGCCATAGGGAGAATAGAGTCATCCAGGTGGTAGTGGACGGCCTTGCAGAGGTCCAGGTCGTCGTTGTGGTTACCCTCAGGCGACACCGGGGCAACAACGTCCTGCTCACCATACTCGAGCGCACGGAAGTGGCGCAAGAAGTGGCGACCCTGCTGTGTGGAACGGCGGGGGCGGCCGCGGAAAGGGGAACGACGCTGGGAAGTGTCGTGAGAGGAGGAGGGGGCGTAACCAGTATGTTGAGGCTGGGAGGAGGTAGTGGATTGAAGACGGGCCCTCATGCGCTGATGGGACCTAGAGGCCTCGTAAGCCTGCGGGGCCGATGTGAACTCGTACCGCCATAACTCGGAGCGGTATTCAAGGGGAAGGCTGTCCAAAAAACGATCGATGAGGGAAGTCTCGGGGAGGAACGCCACATCACAAATGAGGCGGGCGTCCTTAAAGACCTAGATGTGGCGGTCCAGGCTGGCAGCGCCAACAGAGCTGGACCAACGTGTACTGACGACACACTCGAAGGCGTCAGTTACGTCGTGTTGGACTCCGAAGCGATCCTCGAGGAACGCCTGAAAATCCATGAAGGTCGGGATCCAACCCTTACGAAGGGAGTGAGTGTAAAAATTGTCCCAGGTGTCGAAAGGACCGCCACGCAGACGTGCGGAGAGGTGAGTCACCCACGTGTCAGATGGGGCGCCCATGAGCTGGAGCGTGCGGATGGCAGACTGTAGCCACTGAGATACGCGTATCCCTATACCATCATACAAGACAATGTCCGTCAAGTTGACGAGTGGTGTGTCACCGGTTTGGCGGCGAGAAGACCGAGGAGCAGAGGTCTACGCTACGTCTAAGTAGGTTGGTGCATGTCCTGGAGAAAGGGGTGCAACTGACTGTACGCCCGGGCCACATGTGGGAGCGGCGGGGACAATAGTGGCAGGCTGTGAGGGAGATGTGGTAGAAGAGGTCGCAGCAACCGAGGGAATAGGAAGAAGGTAGGATGGGGGTGGAGGGGATGTCGGGTGAGAGAAGCGAGTCGGCATGGAAGAAAGGGTAGAGGAAGTAGGGGATGCCCCCGAAGGTGCGGCCACCTGTGATGGCAGGGGTGGCTGAAGGCGTAAGAGGGCGAGGTCGAACCGGATCTGGGCAAGCTCGTCCTCGAGAGGACAGACATAGATCGAGCGAGGAGTATGAGTAGGAGGAGTGGGGGAAGTAGACGCATGAGCGGCACCAACAGAAAAATTGTTGCAAATTTTGTGACAGGATGATCACATGTGGACACCATATTTCAACCGTTGGAACTGTGTTTATAAACTGTTTGACGGGGGGGGAGTCATATGTTCCACCAGAAGTGAAGGAAACCAATGCTGACCAAACATTGGGAAAACTGAAACTGGTGTGTCCATTTGTTGGTCCATTTGTTGAAAGGATGTTGGTCCATCTGTTGACCATTTGTTGACAACTTGTTGAAGACTTGTGGAGAACTTGTTGAAACGTGTTGACAACGTGTTGAAACGTGTTGAAAACTTGTTGAAACGTGTTAAAAACTTGTTGAAACGTGTTGAAACATGGTTCATCTTTCGTAGAAAGTTACGTTCTGTGTTGGGGGGAAAAATCGATATTTTTGGCTCATGTCGTCGATTTTCGCGGTTTCTTCCCGTCCTTTTCTCCTGCTGCACGATACGCTATGCTCTTTCGCAATTGTCAATCGTTGAGTCTTCCAATACTCTTGACATGCAAAGACCACAATGACTGAAGATAAAGAGAGAGTGTCATGGTTGTGTGTGTGTGTGTGTGAGAGAGAGAGAGAGAGAGAGAGAGAGAGAGAGAGAGAGAGAGAGAGAGAGAGAGAGAGATGCAAGCAGGGTTCACTATTGCGTGACACAAATTTACCAACATGGCAGTGCGAGAGAGAGAGTGGCACGCAGTAGTCAACCTTTGTTTTCGATTGGTGCTGGATTGCAGTATTTCATTTTGTTGATGGACGCGTGAGGGAGCGTCGATTAAATGTTGAGCTGCCCTGCTACAAGCACGTTTCACTACTGCGTGACACAAATTTACCGACATGGCAGTCCGTGGCACGCAGTAGCCAACCTTCCTTTTCGAGTCTGTAGGATTGTTGTACTTCATTCTATGGACGGACGTATATGGGAGCCTCAATTAAATGCTGAAATGTCATGCTACAAGCTCGGTTCACTACTGCGGACCACAAATTTACCAACATGGTCGTCCGCGAGAGAGAGTGGCACGCAGTAGCCAACCTTCCTTTTCGAGTCCGTAGGGTTGCTATGCTTCATTCTATGGATGGACGCGTGAGGGAGCCTCAGTTAAATGCTGAGTTGCCATGCTACAAGCACGGTTCACTGCGTGACACAAATTTAGCAACATGGTGGCATGAGAGAGAGAGTGGCACGCACTAACCAACCTTGCATTGAGAACAACCACGGATGGTGTTTTTTTCATAACATAGTCGCTCTATGACCAATCACACAAAGATGAGCATTACAAGGGATTGTACAATTGTGTATCATATATAACGGACCATATGTTGTAAAGTGACTGTTCAAGTGTCATGGTTCAGAGTCTTCATCTCCCCGTCTCTCTCTCTCTCTCTCTCTCTCTCTCTCTCTCTCTCTCTCTCTCTCTCTCTCTCT